TGACACATACTAACACACAGACACATGCTAACATACACTGATAACACACTAACATATTGACACACTAATACACTGACCTATACACTCACATATACACCAATACACTTACTGAGACACACCAACATTACACAAACACAAAGATTAACACATACACTAATACACTGACATGTACTACCACATATACAATGACATACTAACATACACTGAAAAACATACTAACACACATTAACATGCACACACCAAATAACAAACACTAGCACGTACATTGGTGCATACACTACCACATACTAGTATATACTCTAACACACACACACACACATTAAATATATGCCCCATGAATTTCACCCAGTACATGCTTAGAAACACTGAGTTTATCAAATGTCATTTTTGCATGCTTTTTACCTCTAGGCAAATTCTTAAAAAGTTCAGTTTTACTGGCAACTTGCCCTATGTGTCTCAGACTCTAGTTTTCCTGCGTCTCCCAGTGCTTCTTTCTCTAGGGTCAGGGTTGTCACCTTTCCCTGGGATGGTATGACAGGGCAGAGAATGTCTACCTCAGGGGAGTGAGCACTGGCAGAGTTAGGGGTGGGGCGGGAAGAGGCATTTAGCATGGCTCCCATCTTTATTCGGATGTCAGCCTTTGGTCCAGTCACTTGGATCTGTTTTATTTTTTTTCCTTATTCTATGCCTGGAATTAAGGCTCCAGGGCAAGCATTTTCTTTCCCTACTTTGTATCAGGAGTGAGCAGCCTCTCCAAGCACTATGAGGGGAAGGAAGGTCCCTGGAGATGGCCTGTTTTCCAGAGAACGATCTGGCCACATTGTTTCAGTTTCTGAAAAAGAAAGCTTTTGATTGCCATTTTGAGTCATTTGAAAACTACATTTTGATAAATGTTTGGGTTTTCTACTTGGTTATCTATTCATTTCTGATTTTGTGTAGCAACCACTGAACAAATAAAGTCCTTCTTGGCTCTCTGAGACTTTACTTAGATGAGATGAGTTGGGCTTTGCTCAGAGAACCTCACACAGCTCACAGGGGCGGACTCCCAGACAAGCATGGCTAATGTAACAGGCTAACATTTTGGTAGCATGCCCAGACCTCTTCCCAGTATATTTTGAAACAAGAGAGGAGGTGGTAAATTTATTAAATTTATTAATCATTTTTACTAATTAATCTATAACTTTATTATTAATAATAATAATTCAGCATCTTCTTTGTTTTCACAGGTCAAACCAAACACCTGGATTTGGAGGCTCATGGGTCACTGATGGACAGTACTGCTATTGACTTCTAAAGGAGACATTTTCAGGTTCCTGAGCACAGAGTGGATGACTCATAGTCACCCTCGAGAGCATAGTGTACAGAGGATTGTGCACATGAGGAGAGATGCAAAGGACTGTGTTCCTCTGTAAAGGTGCCTGTGCTTTCTTGCATCTCAGAGCCTTGTACTGATGCTGTCGGCTTAAGTGTTGACACACCTTTCCCACCTTTGCCTTGTGTGCCTCCCATGACTATGACTTTGGCTCTGATTTTATACCTATATTACTATTGTGTTTATTCCCTACTGTCCCTTTTTCTGCATTGTATGATGAACTGATCTACATATTGTCAGAGTCCTACCTTATCCCAAAGAAAAATCAGGTCAAATTCTAAAATACTATAGGGCATCCTCTCCTTTCTCACATCTCAAACATGGGTGGACGGTGGGAGGGTTGCTGGGGGACATTGAGGCTGTGACTTCTTTTTTTCTGGGGCTCACCAGGGCTCCTGCTGAAGGGACCACCCAGAAGGAACCCTTGAGGGGCTTACCTTGCTCCTTTTGTTTTTGGGAGTGTGCCCCTCCTCCACTCTCTCATTACTTCCCCATTGAAACTAGCAAATGGATCTCACAGGAGGTGAGAGGGCACAGAGGGCATAAATATATATAAACAGCCTCCCTCTCCTGTAGTCCTCGCTCACACTTCCTCTGTTTGCTCAATTTCAGCCTTTTCTATGCATGCTACACTTCACTTTAAAAAAAAATCTTACATGACATCATCTGCACATACAGTTTTCTATAGGCCTTTTCATCAACTATTTTATCAGGGGTGTTTTTCTCACAATCTTTACAAGCATTATCAGTAATTCAGTAATATTCAAACCTCTAGCCATTTCCACAATGTAGGTCATCGACAGCTGAGTCCTCCTGGCCGTTGAAATGAATGTCTTTGTGCATGCCTTCTCTCTACATTAACAGCATCAAGAAATCTCCTACCTAGGATATTAGATTCTTTGGAATATCTGTTGATTATCAAGCCACTTGCAAGGCTTTTTTCATCAATGTATAGCAAAATAGGACTTAGTAACTTATGTATAAATGGAGCTCTCTCTAGTAAGACAGATTCTACTTAACTCTCACTTTAGGAAGACGCCAACACTCTCGTTTACGCACTGTGGAGCATGCGGGTGTCGGTACAGACTTCGAGTGATGAGCTGCTTGAACACTCCACCCCTGCCCTTCTCTGGAGTTGTGGTATCTGCTCAAAAGAGCTCAGCTGAGGAGGCGTAAGGCCGCTTTAGCACTCATAATTAAGAATGTTAAAAGTGAAAAGTCTTTTTTATTTGGTCTGGCTACTCACGCCTTGCAAATGTCAGCAAGAGAGGGGCAGAAACAAAGGCTGCCTGCCTTTTTAAACCCACCCTGGCCTCACAGGGGTTTCAGAAGCAGGGAGTGGACGGGACACATTTACATAATGAAAATGGCCAATGGGTGGAAAGTTTACATTGCTCTGCTGGTGAAAGCATTCCACTTCCATTTTACCCTGATGACCAAGGTGCTTGCCATGTCTAAAACCACCAGGAGGAAGGGTCTGTCCTCTCCATAGGGACTTGTAAGAAATAAAAGGTAAGACAGCATACAAACTGTTCAGACAGAAAAACCATCAGAGCCTTACCTTCAACTCAAGTAAGGAACTGGACTAAAAGAAGCAAACAAGACTTACCGTAGTCTATCTGCCAACCCCCAGTTAATCAGTGTGTTCACATTTTCATATTGCCACATCATGTCTCCACTAGCTTAAGAACACAGTCTCTGTCCACAGAATGCTCCTGTTGACCCTGAAGAAGATTTAGAGTTGGCTCTCATGATTACTCTGCCAGGTGTGTGCTCATGTGACGTCACTATTTCTAACTGTAGCTCCTGAAAAGAACTCATTTGTCAAATCAAAGGTGCTACATCTGTTGGTCTGGTACTAACCGTCTGTAGACTTGTGCACGACCCCAGAGGCTCCTGCATCATGGCTTCAGAGTGAGTGCATTAAACCATGGAGGAATAGTCATGTTTATGTGTGGCATTCTAGAGAGTAAAAAATAAAAATCATTCTTTGCTGAGTTATGGTCATTTCTAAAGGGGTTTGAGTTACAGGGATGATAACGGGCCCACACTGAGTGCACATAGAAACAGGTGAACTGTAGTCATAGTTGGCATCAAGAGATTTAGATGCTGTGGTCCACTTTTTGGTAGGTGTTTTAACTACTTTTCTGTTACTGTGACAAAACACCCTGATCAAAACCTCTAGAAGAGTTTCTTTGGGCTTGTGGTTCTACACAGGTAAGAGTCTGTCATGGCGAGGAGGCATGGCAGCAGGCATGGTGACAGGAGCTGAAAATTCACATCTTAAACCGTACACTCAATTCACTGAGAGCAAACTTGGAGTGGCAAGGGAATTTTAATCTCAACGTGGGCCTGTGCATTTCCCATCCAGACCACCCACTTCCCCCAAACATCACCAGCTAGAGATCAAGAGTTCAAAGCCACCATAGTAGGTGTTGTTTGTTTAGGCACCCATTTAACCTAAGGGTGTGTAGCTTCACTGACTGAAAACCACACACCCCACTGTGTCACCAGTGTTTTGAGAGGTTACAGGGGTTCGGATGTAGGCTTCTTAGCAGCCTAGCAGATCTCCCTGGGCTAACATGGATGTCTTTCATCCACCATAGAGACACCTGTGCCCAGAATGGGACTAAAACTGCTGGATATAGATATGTCTCTGCTAGCCTTCCTGAGTCCTTCTGCTCCACAGGGACAGTCCACCCCAACACCAGGAGGAATCAGGGAAATGTGTCTTCATCCACCTGCTTCTTTGTGGTCCACAGGAGACTGGTCGTGTGGTTGTCATGGAGGAGACATTTGATGCCTACAGTCTCTGTCTCAAAAACAAACTGCTCAGAAGTCAAGTGGGCCTGTACTTTCTCAATCTCTTGTTATATTTCTCTGCTCTCTGATCCAGCCATGAGGACACTGGCCTTTATTCTCCTGAGAAAAAATTTTCAGTTTTCGGTGGGCTGCCCCATTTACCTGAGCAGATGCCTTTGCAACTCAGCTAGTTGGGGTCCAGTTGGATATGGGCAAAAAGTCCACACCAACAGGACCAGGGTGTTTTGTCAGTTTTCATTTTTTCCTACAGAAGTCTTGTTTTGTCAAGGTCCCCTCACTCCTCATACACGAACATGTTCTTAAGTGTGAACTGTTCTATGAACACCTTATTGGGAAGAAGATGGCTTAAAATCATTGGGAGAGACTGGCAGGCTGTGATTTTTACCATTTTATAATCTACTCAGGTAGAAGAAGGAGATCTGAGACAGAGGGTCAACACCAAAAGGACATTAACTAATTGCTGGGTTAGGTTCTCACCTGGGACTCCTACCCAGGGTAGGGGAGAGAGAGGTCTCTCAGACTGTGGCCTTGCTGTGGTAATGAGAAGATTGGCTTCCTCTGAACTCCCCTCAAGGAGACCATCTGCTGTTTGCAGTGTAGAAATGCCTCAAGGAACAGAACGGGGGTGGGGGGGAACCAGAAAAAGAGTGCCTGGTAGGCATCAGGCAGTGGGGGGGGGCATTTGAAGTTGTTGGGAATGTTGGTGAATGCAGAAGAGAAAGCAGCTGAAACAGAATGACTTAGAGGGTTGAGGGACCCTTCAAACTTGTGAGACAGGACAAGTGCTTTTTAAAGATAATATACACCTGTCCTTAGAAGCCTTGCAGGCGTGGTTGCTGTGTCACATATGTGTCAATGGGTGGCAGAGAGGAGAGAGACTATGTCTATGATCAGTGTTCTGACCTATGAACATCTGAATGATTAGTAGCCTAACATTTCATGAAAAAAAAAGCTAGCAACGCATCATGTAGTCCCGATGAACACGAAGGACAGAGAGCAAGCTGGAGATTAGAACCAGCCCACCTGGTACTGAGGGCCCCAGGTGGGAGACGATACATGATCCTCTCATGAGGCCACTTAAGCACACCTGGCGAGAAGCAAGCTCCAGTGACCACCAGACCACTGTCATGGGGTCTGGATAAGGAACTAGCCTGTGATGATCAGAAGTCCAGCACCACAGAGGCCTGGTGGAGCAGACCATGCCAGAGATTACACCTTCCCAGTGCCATAATGGGAGACTGAGGCATAGCACTCCCGAGACCACTCCTAAGATGACCCCTGACACTCAGAGACCTCTGTACCACTAAAAGGAGTAAATAGTGGTAGAGAAATGGAAGAGACAGAGAAACAGAAGGATGCGGGCACAATAAAGAGAGGCAGAGCTGGAGTCTCAGGGGTAGTGAGGAACAACCTAATATGAGTAGCCAGTGATGTCACTCAGGAGCATGGTGGGACTGTGGCCTGTGCTGCCCCGGGGTGGGGATGCATATCTGAGTCTACGGTCCACCAAAGGCCAGGCAGATAGATGTTCCTGGTCTGGGCTGCTCACCAGAGACATGTTGAAATCTGAGGGATTTGCAGAACTGGTTCAACTCCTCATCTGGGCATCATGGGAAAGCCTTCCCTTGGAAGCATGAGAGTGGGTGAACTGGCCGTGCCCCTAGCCAGCTGCAGTATTCAGGAGAATGACCCATATGTTGTGGGAGTTGTGGGCGAGCTAGCCCCCAGGATACCAGTGTAGGCCCTACCATTTGTCTCCTGTGTGGTGGCATGAATGAGAAAGAGATATTGCTTTCCCCAATCTTGCCTCTCACCACCTGCAGCAGGCAGAAGAGCTGGCCCGGAGATCATCAGAGCAGGAGGGCCATCCCTGCCCCCACCAGCTTCAGTGCTCGGGAGAACGAACGGGCCCTGCACCTTGCCAGGGCAGAGCAGTAGAGTGGATCTTGATAGCAGATGTGTGTGTGTGTGTGTGTGTGTGTGTGTGCAGGTGAGTGCACCCTGAGTGTGTGAGCTTGGGGGAGCAGGCTCCACCACTTGTCTGTCACCTGTCTGACTTGCAGTGACATGATCGAGAGAGAGTTGCTCCCCCACCCTCTCCCAGCCCTTGCCACCTACAGCAGTCAGAACTGGCCAGAGATCATCAGAGCAGGAGAGCTAACCATGCCTCTCAGTTGCTGCAGCGTTCTGGAGAGCAGGCCCTGTATCTCACCTGGACAGCACAGTAGAGCTGGCCCTGTATGGGGTGGGGGTGGGGGTGGGGCCTTGCAGGTGAGCCAGCCCCAAGGGTGTGAGGATGGGAGAGCCAGTCCTGCCTCTTGTCTACTGGGTAGTGGCACAGATGAGTGAGGGATGCGGGAGAGATGCCCTCATCTCTTCCTCATCCCTCACTATCTATGGCAGGCAGGAGAGCTGGCCCAGGGTCATAAGAGTGGGAGAACCGACCATGTCCTTCACAAACTGCAACACTTGGGAGAGTGGGCCCTGAATCTCACCTGGGCAGCAGAGCAGAGCTGGCCCTGGTTGCAGGGGTTGGTGGTGAGCTGCCCAGAGGACATGAGAGTAAGAGAGCCTTTGAGCTGACTAGTTCAGATCCAGGGCTTTGAATGAATCCTTCCCAATATCTACCCCAGCAATGAGCCACTAGAGTGCATGAAGGGGTCACTCCTACAGATTCAAAACTGCAGGATCTCCATAACACAGGGCAACAACAGGATATCTAAGAGGAGTCCTAGTGAGGTCCCAGTATTGATACAGCAGCAGAACCCAGAGGCCTGGTACCAGACCAATGAGTCATTGTGATGAACGTTTGCAAGCAAAGAAGTGTGGACAAAGGGGTATACTGTGGGACACACTGTGACACACTATGGCTTCCACAGAAAGAGTTTTTTCTCTGTTGGGGGGAGGTTTCAAGGGTGGAGAGCAGGTATGAGGGGAGGGAAAGATGAGTGAGACTGGGTACATGGTGTGTGGAATTCACAAAGAACCAGTAAACACACACACACACACACACACACACACACACACAGATACAGATCTGGGCTGAACTAATGACGCTCGGGGTGGAGCACTTGTCCAACATGTCTGAGATGCTGGGTTTGACCCCTAGCACTGCATTCATACCTGCACAGCACATACAATGTAAAGTACTCAGATCAGGAGATCACACAGAATTTTCTAGAACATGGGCCACATTATGCCAGCCAGCGAGCGTCAGCAATGTCTCCATCATGCTGAGAGACATACCCCTAGGATCCAGGGTGGATCACCACTGATTGTCCTGCCCAGTGTCCTGATCCAGTGTACTGGGGATTCAGTAGCCCTACCTTACCTCTGCATGTTCATTGTGTGACATCCCCTGCCTATCTCACTTCAGGGCAGCTGCCTGGGCATACGTGTCATGGCAGTTGCCCCAGAGCCCTCTTGCCTTGTGCTCAGAAGCATGTCCCCCCAGGAGGAGCTGACCACTAGACACCCAAGTGCTCCATACCCTGGGAAGAAGACCAGACTGCTAGTGTTAAGCTCCCTCCTCATGGACTTCCCTCTCCTTTTTTCATATCTTGGAAGATCTTCCAGAAGAAACTGTAGAGTTTCTTTCAGTGATAGGACAAGTTGCCTTCAGTGGGAGCTTCTGTGACTGAGGAGATCATGCAAGTAGCTTGTGTTGATTTTCTTGTCTGTAGAATGGCCTCGTTTTCTTGGAGGGGTGAGATTAGACGAGGTAGCCTGGGAGGTTCTGAAATGTCGCTGTGGCACTCTCTGTGCATAGCTCATGTCCCCATTCCTAGCTTCCACCAGTGTTTACCATCCCTCCTACCTAAAGTCTCTGACCACTGCCACCCCCACAACCCCATATGCTCCTGTCAGAGCCCAACTTTAGAGTCACTCTCTCCCGACATCCCAACTTGAGAACGTCTTCCTTCCTAACTCCTTTACTCATGGTACCCACAGGTCACCTCATGCTAAATAAAAACTTTAGCACCTTGACAGACCTGTAACCTGTTCCCCATCTGCTGTCCTGACTGGGAGGCTGTGGTTGTTGGTCCTCAACATGGTCTGTTTAGACTGCCCCATGGCTGGGCTGTGGAGTTCTTGAGGGAGAGACACTGTCCAGCTGGTTTGTTCCATTCGTTCTGTATGGACGCTGTAGGCACCCAGTGAGGACTACGTGACTGAACAGCGTCATTCTTCAGCACACCCTGAGATGCCCTCTAGGCATCTGTTCCTTCTCATTTTCTTGCCTAGTTGAAATATTTCTTAGCTCTAGCTAAGCATACCCTATCTTCTTGTGTTTCCGGTCTACTAGTTCTTCCTCGTATGAGGTTGGAAGCCAGTCTATGGATTTGATGACAACCCTGGCAGCCTGTCTGTGAGGTATTGTGGTCACTGTGGATGGTCATGTGGCAAGGTTCTCTAGAGCCAACGGAAAGTGTCTTTAGAATGGGATTTATTAGGCTCAAAGTCCCACCAACCCACCAGCTGTGGTGGTTTGCAGTTTCACTCTGAGTCCTATCTTAGGAACCAAGGGTGAAAGGCTCAAGTACCAGTCTAGGGGCCAGAAAATGTCAATGTTGAAGCTCACTAGTCAGAGAGAGGGGGGAGGGAAGGAGAGAGAGAGGGGGGGAGGGAGAGAGCCACGTCTCTCTTCCTTCTCAGATCTCCTGGGGATAGATAATATTCATCCATCCTGGGGAAGGAAATGTCTCTACTAGTTACAGGAATGCAGACACAAACCCTACCCTGCAATACACTCCAGACACCCAGAAATAATACCCAGTCAGCTGAAAATAGAAAAACCACCATCTCAGGTCTCTCTTTCCACTGGCTCAGGAGCTTTTGCAAAATAAAGACCTGGACTTTTTCTCTTGACACAGGTTGTATACATAATTGCACGTGATTACAGCTGAATCCATAGTGAATAGCTGTTTACCGTAGCTGTAATTGAGTCACGCTATGATGGGCCTTTAGGAAAAGGGAGACGGGGGCAGAGGCTCCCAGCTAGCTCTGAGGAAGAAGGCAGGGAGACATCTGGGACCCACAATGGGCAGAATAGAATTTACTGACACTGAAGGGTTGAGGCAGAGAGTACACAGGGTGGACAGTGGTTGAGAAGTCAGACTCCCATTGTCTCCCCTGGGCTCAGTGCCATGTTTGGAGTGCTATGTGGTCCACTCGGGCTATGTTGGTTATTGGGGCTCACAGAGTTTACATTTTCTGTGTTCTGGATGTATGTTTCATGGTGTGAGCCTGTGGAACAAGCTTGCACACATCATGGATGGTTTTTTCAGGGGAAATGAAAGCAAATGAGAACAAGGAGTTGTACTAAGATAAGGTGTGTGGTTCCTACAGGGGCACAGAAGACTGTGCACGTGTGAGCGTGTTGAAGGCCATCTTCTAGGTCTCAGCCTGAGGTGCATTCCCCAGGCAGCGAGGGGGTCATTGGCATTTTAAAAGAGCAAAAGTTCAAGACTCTGCATTGAGAAGGAGTCCGTAGGAGTTTTAACTTAGGAGGCCAAGGATAGCATGTGTAATGATTTTATGTAAATAAAAGTAAAATCTCACATGCTCACTTGGCCTACTGCTTTCAAGTAAAAACAGTCACTATCACTATCACTCACTATCACTATCACTCACTATCACTCACTATCACTCACTATCACTCACTATTACTACACTATCACTATCACTCACTATTACTATCACTATTACTATCACAGTCACTATCACTGTCACTATCACTGTCACTATCACTCACTATCACTC